GTGTATCTTTAGGTTCAAAATGGGTCTCTTGTAGACAACATATGGATGGGTCCTGTCATTTTATCCAATCTGCAACCCTGTGCCTTTTTATGGGCGCATTTAGGCCATTCACATTGAGAGTGATTATTGATAGATACGTTTTTATTGACATCGTGTTACCTTTGAAGTCTTTCTTTCTGTAGATTGTCTCTATATTTCTGTTCAATGCTATTCTTAGGATTTTTCCTCTTTTATAGAACCCCCCCTTAATATTTCCTGCAGTGTCGGCTTGGTGGTTGCATAGTCTTTTAAGCCATCAGAAAGGATGAATACCCAACTTTTGTAGCAACATGGACGGGACTGGAAGAGATTATGCTGAGTGAAATAAGTCAAGCAGAGAGATTCAATTATCATATGGTTTCACTTATTTGTGGAACATAACAAATAGCATGGAGGACATGGGGAGTTAGAGAAGGGAGTTGGGGGAAATTGGAAGGGGAGGTGAACCATGAGAGACTATGGACTCTGAAAAACAATCTGAAGGGTTTGAAGAGGTGGGGGGGGTGGGAGGTTGGGGAAACCAGGTGGTGGGTATTAGAGAGGGCATGGATTGCATGGAGCACTGGGTGTGGTACAAAAACAATGAATACTATTATGCTGAAAATAAATTTTAAAAAATGATAAAAAAAGATCGTATTATTATTATTATTCATTGCTAAAAATTCATTCTGATTTGTTATTTTAATGTTATACTCAATTTTATTTAAATTAGATTGCCTACATTTATAAACAATAACCTATGTAATCATCTCCAGAAATGCCATAGTCACTATTAATTCTGGATCTAGTTTTTCAAGTTTTAATGTTGTTTCTGAGTTATTTAAAACTCTACAATAAATTCATATTTTGCTTATGTTAAAAAAAAAAAGCCCATTTGGGCTATGATTTGGATTTTGAGGCTATGAGAGAAAGGTAGTGGAGAGGGAGGAGGCACTCACAGTGGTGCAGGTCGGATAGGATGCTGGCTGGAGCCTGCAGGTGGCATGTGTTGGGGGAGAGGGGACAAGGGGACAGATATGGGCACTGTTTCGGTGAGAGCCCGTGGGACTTAGGGGTGGATTTTACTGTATATGCATTTCTGTATGTCTTTTTTTTTTTTCCCCTTCAGAGAGAACATACTTATTTTGTTGTCAGAAACATTTAAGCTAAAAGAGCTTTATTTATTATTTATTTTTTGGAAGGAAAATAATTTCTTTTTTTTTTAAGATTTTATTTATTTATTTGACAGACAGAGATCACAAGTAGGCAGAGAGGCAGGCAGAGAGAGAGAGAGAGAGAGAGAGAAAGAGAGAGAGACAGGAAGAAGCAGGCTCCCCACTGAGCAGAGAGCCCGATGTGGGACTCGATCCCAGGACCCTGGAATCATGACCTGAGCCAAAGGCAGAAGCTTTAACCCAGTGAGCCACCCAGGTGCCCAGGAAAATACTTTCTTAAGAGCAATGAAAAACAGTGAATTCTGACACTTTATTTTCCTTAAATGGTGATGTGAAAGCACTGAGCCTAACTCACTGATTTTTCCAGATTAAAATAATCTTTTATTAAAATTTATTGAGAGAGACAGAGAATGTGAGCCCATGAGTTGGGGGGAGAGGCAGAGGGAGAAGCAGAATGCCCACCTGAGCATTGAGCATGATGAAGGGTTTGATCCCAGAACTCTGAGATCATGACCTGAGATGAAGGCAGAGCTTAACCAACTGAGCCACCCAGGTGCCCTCTTCTATTCCTTTTTTAAAATTAAAAAAAATTTTATAGAGCACCTAGGGGGCTTAGTTGTAAAGCATCTACCTTCGGCTCAGGTCAGAATCCCAGAGTCCTGGGATCAAGCCCTGCATTGGGCTCCCTGCTTGGCGGGAAGCCTGCTTCTCCCTCTCCACACTGCTTGTGTTCCCTCTCGTGCTGTCTCTCTCTCTGTCAAATAAATAAATAAAATCTTAAAAAAAAGAAATTGAAATAATCTTAATTAATTAATTAATTTCTATTTCTTTTTTTTTAAGATTTTATTTATTTATTTGACAGAGATCACAGTAGGCAGAGAGGCAGGCAGAGAGAGAGAGAGAGAGAGAGAAGGAAGCAGGCTCCCTGCTGAGCAGAGATCATGACCCAAGCTGAAGGCAGAGGCTTTAACCCACTGAACCACCCGGGCACCCCTAATTTCAATTTCTTTAAGGACTCTAACTCTATGTCAAAGAAACTTCTCTCAGGGTATTTTATGTAACATAACTATTTTAGCCATGACTTTAAAATCTTCTCCCTTGTACCACATGCATTTTAGCCAGATCATCTATATATTTATAGAAATATCACTAATATGGTTTAAAAGCTTGGCAAACTACAATCTACAGCCTATTTGTCTGGTGGCCCTCAATATAATATTTTTTTACATTTTTAAGGAGTTGTTGAAAAGGAAAAAAAAAAAAGTCTAAAATATTTGCTATTTGGGGGCGCCTGGGTGGCTCAGTGGGTTAAGCCGCTGCCTTCGGCTCGGGTCATGATCTCAGAGTCCTGGGATCGAGCCCCGCATCGGGCTCTCTGCTCTCTAGGGGAGCCTGCTTCCTCCTCTCTCTCTGCCTGCCTCTCTGCCTGCTTGTGATCTCTCTGTCAAATAAATAAATAAAATCTTTAAAATATTTGCTATTTGGCCCTTTACAAAATAAGGGGGGCTGACATCAGTAGAAATTATCGGTCCAAATTTGTAAGTTAAATAAGTTTAATACAGAATAGGAAGATGTAGTGTTCACACACACACACACACACACACACACACACACACACACAGAGGAATATTATGCAGCCGTAAGAAGAATGAGATCGTGCCATTTGCAACAACATGGACGGACCTAGAGGATTTTATGCTAAGTGAACTAAGCCAGATGAGAAAGACAAACACCATGATTTCAGTCACATGTGGAATGTGAAAAAAACAAGTGAATAAACTAATAGAAAGCTGAATTGGATCTATAAATGCAGAGAACAAACTGTTTGCCAGGGGGAGGCGAGTTGGGGATGGGGAGATGAGTGAAGGGGAGAGGGTGGTACAGGCTTCTAGTTCTGCAATGAATAAATCACAGGAATAAAAGGCACAGCATAAGTAACATGGCCAATGATATTATGATAATGTTGAACCTTGACTAATAGTAGCTACGTTGACTAATAGTAGCTACTTGTGTGAGAATAGCATAATATATCAACTTGTTTAATCACTATGTTATCCACCTGAAACTGATATAACATTGTATCAATACTAAAAAAAAAAAAAAAAAAAAAAAAAAAGTTTAACACTGATAAGATCAATCTGAAGTACAACTAATAACTCAAAATATAATTTAACCAGCCAGCTTGCCAGGCTGGGAGAAATAGAAATTGCAGCAATTTTTATAGTGATCTTGGGGCACCTGGGGGGCCCAGTCGGTTAAGTGTCTGTCTTTGGCTCAGGTCATGATCCCAGGGTTCTGGGATTGAGCCCCACATCAGGCTTCCTGCTCAGCCTGCTTCTCCCTCTCCCACTTCTGTGCTTGTGTTCCCTCTCTTGCTGTCTGTCTCTCTCTCTCTCTCTGTCAAATAAATAAATAAAGTCTTAAAAAAAAACCTGGTGATTTCTTAAATGCTTGAAATTAACTGTCTCCATTCTATTTAACATAGAATCATCACCTGACTCTCCTTATAGCTTTATCCCATGATTCCATCCAGAATATGATTTCTTCAAGGTGATGGATATATTTATAGTACCCTTGGTACTTCAGTGCCTAACCCAGTTAAATTTTATAATCACCAATAGGGTGGCTGAACTGATTTGCTCTCTTTGAAAATTTTAACATCATAGCTCCCTCCCTTTTACGAGGCACACAAGGAAGTAAACATACTGGCAATTCAGTAGTTTCACCCAGGTTAATAGCATTCAGTAGTTGAGATAACATTCAGATAAAATTATCCACTGTACCAAGTTGCTGAATTTCATTAATTATGCTCATCAATGCACACGTATGCAAATAAGGCTTTAGGGACCTTTCACATTACTTTTTGCTTGCACATGGACCTGAACCAATCCCAGAAGAGCAAATGCATTTGGAATCCTTTTGAACCAGCAAATCCCACCACTCCACCAACAAACAAAAGACCAAACAAAGTCAAAGAAACAACTGGAAAAAAAAAACATGCTCAAAAACAAAAATTACTTTTGATAATATTGGTTAATAAAACAAATATCTAGAAATCCCTTCTCTCATGACAAAAACAAAGAATGAGCATGAAAGGTTACATAGTGGACTCTATTTAACAGAAAAGCTTCAGAACTGGACTTCCTGCCCTGAAGTTCTTACTCTACTACTTCATAAGTACGTGGCTCTGAACACAGCTCTTCTCTAAGGCTCAATTCTGTAATCTGTAAAATGGAGGCGACAATAATTGCCAACCCTGTGGACTGGTGTATGGATTAAATTGGGTAATGATAATGCACACAAAAAAACAGAGTGCATGGAACAGAGCATGCACGCTAGAGTGTTATGTTAGAGCACAGTTGTTGACATATTGAGTGATTCTAACCAACCTTGGCTACACTGTCCAAAGTCTTAATGAAAAGAAAAATTCTAGTTCTTTTGTTCTATGTTTCCAAAGGCAGTATTTAAAGCACTTGACAATTAAAAAAAGATAGCAATACTTTCTTGGATTTGTATAGTACCTAAAGCACTTCCACATTTCCTTTCTTGGCATATTTGCAGCATAATCTACGATAGTTCATTAACAGAGGTTATTCCTTTGGCAGGAATAAAGGCTCAGAGAGGTCATCACAGTTATGTATAGTACCACAGCAGGGATTATGCTCAAGACTTGTGATTTGATCAAATCCTACTTCCTACGTTACCATTCCCTCCCATGATGCTTTATGTGCAGCTGATGGCTGATAAATTCCCCCAGATTTAGATGCCAGAGAAACCACCATTCCTTTTTCTCATGGGAGTACTTACTGGTCGGGACTGGATTTCTTTGGCGTAGAGAGGTTGCAAGAATTCTGAGTCTCCTTCTAGTTTTAGACCTTTGTCTGTGATTCTCAAATTCCCCATTCCATCCTGAAATAGAAGCACAAAGATAACAGAGAAAATGCAATTAGCCAATATTTCAAAAAACCTCAGGCTTTCAAAAATTGAAACAAAGTTACTGCCTTTTTTTTTTTTTTTTGAGAGATGGGATAAGAGAGGGTCCAATAAAATACTAGGAGGTATTGTTCAAAGCAATTATGCATATTACCCTCTTCGCTCACTTATTCTGAGAAAATTCTATTCTAAGCAATCTGTAATGCCCCCTAGTCAGAGCCCTTTTGCTAGGTATTGCAGACAGAATGGAGGCAGGAGATAAGTGTGAAACGATAAAGGGATAATTCCCCCAGTTAAAGTCCATGGTCCAGTTTCCAAAACTTTGTGCAAAAATTGCAAAGTGCAGTCTGTTGGTTGAATCTAGTTTTTGGATACATTGTGTTTTGCTCACAAAATATTAAAGAGGTCAAATTAGTTGCTGACATTTTTACAGATATTCTATTACAGAAATAGTAAAATACATACAAAAATAGAAGATCAATAGCAAACACATTATCATTCACCTTCAACAATGATCCATTTATGGCTATTGTTATCTGGTATACCCACCATAACTACCTCATTTGGTTAAATATAACTCTAATACCATCACTTCTACCACAAAAAATACTAAAATAATATCATCTAATACCCTAATATCATCTAATACCCTAATACATCCAATATAATCTAAAAATAATAAAATAACAGCATCAGTGTTCAGATTTCATTTTTTTATTTTCTCTCCTTAGACTTGTTTCCTTGAATCAAGTTCCCTACTAGAATTGGTTGATACATAAAATAGTAGGTCATCTCCTAAAAATCTCCTCAGTTTGGTTCTTTTCACAGATCCACATATGTACATAACCTTTATTTGATGAACAGAACATGTCATTTTTCTAATAGCCCTGCCCAGCATTTACATGTGGCTGAACATTCCCATAATTTCTTAAAGTGTGTTCTTCTGTCCCCTATACTTTTTGTAAGTTGGTAGTTAGATCAAGAGGCTTGATGAGATTTAAGCTCTGTTTCCTAGGAAGAACACATTCGAGGAAATGGAATATATTACTATTCTACTGCGACCATCACAAATAACCACAAACTCCATGGCTTAACACAACACAAATGTATTATGTCACGATTCTGTATAAGTCTGACCCAGGACACAAAGCATGAAAATCAAGGTACCATTTGGTCTCCTGCACTCCTTTCTGGAGGTTCAAAGGAAGACTTTTTCTAGCTTCTTGAGGTTGCTGGGCTTGTGGCCTCTTTCATCTTCAAAGTCCATAATGACTGGCTGAATCTACCTTATGTCCAATCCCTCTGACGATGAGTCTTCCCCCTCCCTTTTCCACTTTTTCTACTTTTTCTAGCTTCTTGAGGTTCCTGGGCTTGTGGCCTCTTTCATCTTCAAAGTCCATAATGACTGGCTGAATCTACCTTATGTCCAATCCCTCTGACGATGAGTCTTCCCCCTCCCTTTTCCACTTTTAAAGACCCTGGTAATTCCATCAGGCATACCTGGATTATCCAGGACACTCTCTCCATTTTAAAACAATTGATTAGCAACCATAATACTATCCACAATGTTAATTCTCCTTTGCCACAAAATGTAACATTTTCGGGTTTCTGAGATGAGGACATTGATACCTTCAAAGTGGATAGCATTTTTCTGTCTACTACATACTCTATCAAGAGACATTAAATGTCTTCTGTTGTGATGTCATCACCCATTGGTGATCTTTGCCTAGAGGATATATTATTTCACTAGGGATTTCAAATTGGTGAAAAGAATAATTATATCATTTCTTAATTTATTAGTTGGGATAGTCTACAAAGAGAAATCATATTTCATCAACAATTCACCCTAAATTATAGTTTATAACCTGAAAAGGTGTGTGATTTGTCCTCCTTTATTTGGGTTCTCAAAATATTGATTACCTAGTAGCTTCCAAAGATAACCGATTAGGTTTCTTTTTTTCATTTGGTTTTTTATGTATAATTACAGACATTTTTAATTTGTTTCATTCCAGTGCAATTTTTATTGCTACTTAAGTTCTAACCTTCCTACCCTTGCTCAGTAGGAACCTCTTCAAGTTAGCCCCTAAGTCTTTTAATATGATCCAGCCATCTCTGATGGCCCTTTCGCTTCTGGTATGACAACATGACCCAGGGTTATTCCACACATGTCTTGTCCCAGGCCTGGAACCAGTCATTTCTAATAAAAATACTTGGTTCATTTTTGTGGCAACTAGTGTTTAGAAACCACAGACTGACAACTTTGGGTGCTCATTTCTTCTGGGTTGACACTTGTTTCTATGGACTGAGCTAGAAAATAAATTCTGTATTTTTAAAATAGAATACACCATGAACTCCCATTAGACTTTTTAAAAGAGATTTTATTTCTTTGAGAGAGAGAAAGGGAACAAGAAAGCACAGAGGGAGGGTGAGAGAGAGAAGCAGACTCCTCACGGAGCAGAGAGCCCAGTGCTGGGTTCAATCCTAGGACCCTGAGATTATGACCCGAATCGAAGATTGGTAAGCAGTAGATGCTTAACTGACTAAGCCATCCAGGTGCCCTATCCCATTAAACTTCAATTCAAAGTCAAGACAGGACTGTTTTCATTTAATCTCATGGATCTTACAACTTTACTACCTTTCTTGCATACCAAAAATCTGTGTTCTCAACACCAAAATGATTATTCATTTGATTTAACCCACAATACATAGAGCCACTACTATTCTAAAATTATGATTAAGAAAAACAATTTAAAATTTGAAAAAGTTTTAGAGTACATCCTTCTAGACAGGTACAGGCAAATGACTGGATCTCAAAGCCACTTGAACTAATTCGATTCTGTATGATTATACAACCAACCTGCTGTTGAGTCAAGAATACTTGTTTCATTCCTCCCCATATCTTATTTTATTATGACAGCTTTTTGAATGTTTAATTTTGTATTACATTTTTGTGAACTATTTAGAAAGCCCCAAAGTCAAATCTACAAAACAAGATACATTCAAAGAGATCTAGATTCTCTCCCTGTCCCTCCACCACGTTTCCTCTTTTCCACATAAGTGTGGATACATATCTGATTCAGTCAAGGTTCTCCAGGGAAATAGAACAGGACGTGCGTGTGTGTGTGTGCACACATGTGTGTATGTACACACACACACACACACACACACACACACATTTTACCAATTTATTCCTACATTTTCCACAATGCATTGTCAGGTGAAAACAACAACAACATGCACACAAAGACAAAATTCCTTAAAAGCTCATTGACCACTGGATGGAGAAATAGTTGTAAAGCTATTTTGCAATGTGTCCCTGTCCACACAGGCAAGGTTCTGGTGTGCAATTTTATGCACCACACACAACCTTTTTTGGTGTGTTCTTGAAGAGATGGGTTTGAGGTATGGGCTCTGGTGTGAATCCCAAGAAGGAAAATGTTCCCATAATTATTTAAATGTTAAAATACCCTAAAGAGCTAACTTTAAAGTGCTTTACATGTCTCTTTCTTTTCCATACTGCAAATTTATTCATCATATTATGCACCTGAAACTAATATAACACTACATGTTCACTAACGTATTAAAATAAAAACTGTAAAAAAGATAAAAATCTCTCATCAAAAAAATGAAAATTGAGAGATTTAAATGAAAACTCCAGGTTTTCAACTTCTTGTGAAATGGGAAGCCCTGGGAAATAGGAACCTGCCTTCTCCCATGGCCACCACTGGCTAGAGGCAAACAGCTGCTCCCCTCAGTGACTCTATGAACCATATGCTCTCCACTTCGCCAGTGCCCGCCCGGCTTATTTCAGGAAGGTACATTTTCCCAGACTCCTGAAGTCTCTCACCGGTGTCTCCCATTTCTCCTCTCTGGCACGGCCATCAATGCATGCAGGACAGACACCATACTTGGGGGTCCTGAATGACCAAGTGGGAACTGGGCACTTCCCCCCTCCCTCCTCCATCACACCACTTCAGCCTGTGCAGGAGAACTGATTTTTCAGGTCAATATTATCCTTTCAGAGATAGCATGCCATCTGTATATTTCTATTTTGGGTCCTTATGGGGATGGCACTGCCAAAAAAAAAAAAAAATTTAACAACGTGAGAGGCATTGGGCTGGAGGGTATATTCATGTAACACCAGCAGCAAGCAGATTCCACAACAAAAGGAAAAAGGTAAAAAAAATATCTACCCAACCTTCCCCCACTGCCCCTGACCCACAAAGGAAATGTCAATTATCTTGTTTTGGATTATTCTAGATGGTTTTTATAAGCTGGAGAAGCAGAACTTTTCATAGAAACACATACTAATAAACCTTTTCATAGAAACACATCTATAAACTCATGGATCTGGTTGGTTTGTGCGATATGTGTTTATAAAACAAGTAAGAACTGCTAAGCATTCTTACATAGAAGATTATATTTGGAGTAATTAGCAAGCCTATTTCAAATAAAATAGATTTCCCTCTCCTCTTACAGTATACAGATCCACTACCCTTAACATTTACTGATGGCTTACTAGGTGCTCATTACTAGACTCTGCTTTTCATGCTTCATTTCATCTTTGTTACTGAAAACTAACATGTTACTTCTTGAATGTAATCATTACAAAATAATCCTATAAATGTGAAATTGTTTGGCTAGAGAGTTGTTCATCACCATGCCAGTTATGAGAAAAAAAATTAAAACTTAAAAACTACCTAAAAGTTGCATGTTAAAATAACAGAATATGATAGAATAGAAGATGATGTAGGTCCTGTAGAGGAATATTTAAGAACATGGGCAAATGTGCACAATTGATTATAAATGAAATCATCAATAAAGATATATGTATGTATATTTTATGCCATTTTAAAAAATGATGTTATTTATTTACTTATTTATTGAGCACAAGTGAGGGGAGGGGCAGAGGGATAGGGAGACAGAGAATCTCAAGCAGACTCCACACTGAGTATGGAACTAGACATGGGGCTCAA